TAAGCCTTTGATATACTCTAAAATGCACTTCCAGGCCTTCTCCATTACGTTAAAATTAAAATAGGTATGAGTGAGATATTGGGGCCTGAAATGGTTACTGATTCCTGCTATAGTAAATAGATTTTTGAAATATCTGTTCTTTGTTTTCCAGACTTCTTCAGTTTCATTTTTCTTCCTCTCTCCCAGCCACATTTGGGTGAGAAAAAAAGCTCACAGACTTTCAGCAATTATTTCCATTAGCCTCTTGTACATCTCATGTAAACATGTATTTAATTACAAGGACCATTACAGTGCTAATAATGGCATATATTTCAGTAGTTGTGTAATGTCATATTGCATGCCCCGATTATAGGTAATTAGGTATATATGAGATAATTATGTCAGGAGCATGCTATTTGTAATTTTTTTGCTAAGAAACTTACATAATTACTATTGAAACCTTTGCCCTTTGTATGCTAAAAATAGAAATTGTGAAGTAACTGCCATCAGATTTTAATAGGCAAATGAAACCAATTATGTCAATAAACAAGGTTGGATAGTGACATCCGCTTGTTCTTTAGTAGGTCATTTTATACTGAAACTATGATAATGATATGGATTGCATTTTCTTTGTACTTAGGAAATGTCTTCTTTTCCCTACCTTCGGGAGAGCCTACACTACTGAAAATAAATTTTAGAAATTACTAATTCTGAGAACAAAAACTAAATACAGAACATTTTATTTGTTCGTGGTTTCTTTTCTTCAAATACCATGGCCTCCCATATGCAGACCTTTGCAAGCTTGTGTTTGGATTCCAGTAACATTTTGGGTTGGGTACAGTTAGAGCAGAGGAAGACTAAGTTATAGAATTTCTTGACATCTTTCTCTCTCTTTCTCCAATCTTTTATATAAAAAATCCTTCCATCTTCTACTTCTGGATTAACCATCATTGATGTATGTATGACCTAAAATAAGTTTTCCCGTAAATCAGGGGTTGGAAAAGCAGCATTGTGACACACTTTGAAATAATTTTAAGAATTATTCTAACAATTGCCAGTTGCAGGTTGCTAAATCTCATGATGTCCTCTGAGTGAAACTGCCAAATTTTCTGAAATTTTTGTTATCTGAGAATTGCCAACCCAGTCTTCATCCATCATTGGAAAGGGGGATTGTAAAATATATTTAGGGCAGAATGCTGATTAACCTTAGCCTCCTTCATGCATTATCCGTATATGATATTGAGCTCCTGGAAAATATAACAGCCTGGCTTGCATGGAAGCTGAACGTGCAAAGGCCTTTTCTTATATAAGCATTAATGTTCAATACAATATAATAATGACATTAGATCAGTTTAGTTACGTCGGGGGGCAGAGTTTATCCAGACCATTGACTTAGTGAGCCCTCCAGAATTAATAATTTGTGCCTAATAATTTTCTAACTAATTTTTCCAGCTGCTTCTCTTGTTGCATGTGGGGAATGATCAGTCCATGCGGTGTGTTAGTTAATGGGTTCTGGAGTCAAGCTGTTTATGGATCTCTTGAAGGCATTACTTACTGTTTATTATTCTGTTGTTTGTTTATGTTTTAACTTGCACAATAAATAATTTTGCAATTAAAATAAAGTATATGTGAACAAAAGCAGAACTCATTTCTGAGAATCTTCCTATATCAAACGAAAAGGTATTTGAGAAGAAATGTAGAGAGTAATTTTAGACAGTAATCCTACTAATCAAACAATTGTCAGATACTCTCCATTAACTTTTTCTGTGATATATTCCACCTGTTACTTTCCCCTCACCTTGCAATGTGTCTGTTCTTGTCTTAAATTGGTGCAAGATTTAATTCTGCATAAACAATGGTCTGATGGCATTACTGCCTGGAGACTGTTGTTTGATGTGTCATCAGGATCTCCACAGATATGTCAGAAATGTGAATGTTTAAACGAAAGCAAGTTTGTCTGCAGTACTACATATCCAGGAAATGTTAGCAAGAGTATCAGGAGGACCGTTACATACTTTTAAATGCTGCCATTGTATATCAGAAATATGGACAAATTTTTAATAACATGAAAATGTATTTTTCATGATAGGCAATCACTTGGTGGCAGAGATGTAGGATTTAATATAGTAAACATTATTTAAATGTCAGACTTGCAGTTTTGTACCACAAATACTGGTTTAGCTGTTAGAGTTATGCTTTCAAATCACAGATACTAACATAGGAAGCAGAGACTTTCAGTTGTGAAAAATTGCTTCATGCTCTGGTAGAAGCAATCAGAGAAATTGTTACTGAATTAATGAACAAAAATAAATATGTTTTGTCTTTTTTTCTTTGAAAGTTGAAATGTATTAAATTTTGTGATTAAATTAGTAATACAATAATATAACTGTATGGTATACTCTTGGCAATGTGGTAGTGTACGTTTTTTGTTTAGAATTTTAACATATAAAACAGTGTCAAGAAAACATTTTACGGTCATATTTTTTAAAATTTAAAATTACCAGTGTCCTACACTAAATCATTGTAATAAGTATTTGATATATTAGATATGCTTAATGAGCCAGATCTTTGTAATTATTTTCATTGTAATCCAGTCAAAAATTTTAAGAAAATTATTTCAGGTCACCCACTGGTCCTTCATAAAGAAGCAGATCGAAACTCTAATCAGCTTATGGCTGAAGGTGACTTTTTTTACTACAGGGCCTAACTCCTTTAATTTGTTCACAATGTACATCCAGTAAGAAATGCAAGATCAAAAAGAAAATGCTTCAGTGTAGGTTTTCCCCACTATTGTTGAAAGAATTGGGCTATGAGCAAAAAAATGTTGCACTTCAGGACAATGTAGTAGATGTTAACAATGAGAGCTTGGAATCTGCCCTGCAAATACTGTACTAGGAAACCATGGTTCCTGTTGTAAGCCAACAAAGTACTTTGAATATCTTAATCTCCCTAAATATCCCCTTGAAGCCTTGGGAATTTATTTCAAAGTATATATTCTTTTATCTTAAACATCATCTCATAGTTCAGTGTCTCAAGTTGTTGTTGACTCTTAGCGACCACATAGATAGATTTTCTCCAGGAGGATCTGTCCCTAACCTGATTCTTCAGATCTTCTAATAGTGAACCCATCGCCACTATAACCGAGTCAGCTAACCTTGCTGCTGGTCATTCTCTTCTTCTCTTTACTTCCACCTTTCCCAGGATTAGAGCCTTCTCCAGAGAGCTAGGTCTTTGCATAATATGTCTAAAGGTGAATACAGGTAGTCCTTGACTTACGACTACAATTGGGACCAGAACTTCTGTTGCTAAGCGATACGGACATTAAGTGAGTTGTGCCTGATTTTACGACCTTTTTTCCATGGTCATTAAGCAAATCCAGCTTCCCTCATTGACTTTGCTTGTTGGAAGCCCCCTGGGAAGGTCGCAAATGGCAATCACATGACCCCAGGACACTGCAACCATTATAAATACATGCCAGTTGCCAAGCACCTGAATTTTGATCATGTGACTGTGGGGACGCTGCAACGGTCATAGATGTGAGGACTGGTCATAAGTTGCTTTTTTCAGTGCTGTTGTAACTTCAAACAGCCGTTAAATGAATGGTCGCATGTTGAGAACTACCTGTAATTTGAGCCTTGTCATTTATGAGAACTCAAATTGTTAATTTGTTTGATGATCCATTGGTTTTCTTTCTTGGCTGTCAACTGTATTCTCAGGAGTCTTCTCCAACACCAAAGTTCAAAAGCATCAGTACTCTTCCTATCCTGCTTCTTCAAAGTTCAACTTTCATTTCTTTAGAGTGTCCCAGGGAATACCATGGCTTGCACACTTCTGATCTGTGTAGGTACAGATACATCACATATTTGAATATCTTTTCCAAAGCCTTCATAGCAGTTCTACCAAGTGCTAGTCTGTGGCATATTTCTTGACTGCTTGTTCCTTTGTTGTTGATGCTTGATCCTAAAAGGAAGAAGCTATCCACCACTTTGAAGAGGTAGGGAAAGACTGCAGAGCATGGCTTCTGGAATTCCAAACCACTGCTTCTCCCATAGGGATGCATTGGGGGAAATTTTCTGGAATTCTTGTCTCTGCAGCCTCTGGCCTGATCCAGCCCATTTTAGGACTCAAACTTGCTTTTGCTAATTTCGCTCCCTTTGCAGATTTTGTCCCAGTCCGTTCGGTTTTCAGAGTTACTTCTCAGATCCACAGAGAGTCCAACTTAACTGTACATAACTTGTTTCCAACATTCCTGTGGATTTGAATGAATAAAAAGCCTTAAAAAAAGAGTAAGTTAACAAGTCAGTCATTAGTGCTTATCTTGAAAATAATTTAAAATTTTAATATTGGTGATTTAACACTGAAACTGAAGCAAACACACAATTCAAACCACATTAAAAAGCTTAAGATTTATGTTTCTTGGAAAATATCCTCCTTGTTCCACACTGCAAGCTAGTTTTGAATTACAGAAAGAAAGAAAAAATAATGTGTGTATAGTGTGGGTTAGGGAGTGATGTGTATTGGTGTGGAGATGTGTTGTGTGTTTCACGGGATATGTTTGACTCCAACCTTCCTGAACATGGTATCCTCTGTATGTGTTGGAATTGCATCTCACAAAATTTATAACCAGCCCCAACATTTCCAGAAGGCATCAATTTGAGGAAGACTCAACTTTGAGTATGAAATCTTCAAAAAAAAGTAGATTGCTTTTTCACTTCTTAATTAAATGCAAAAGCCAGTCAACACATACACATGAAAGCTTGGTGAGAAAACAAGCAATTGCAAATTACAATTAGTAGTTGTACAAATGAGCACAGATGAGAGATACTTAGGGTGGTGATTATTTTGCTGGATTTCTATTATGGCTTTCTGGAATTATAATGAGGCTTTATTTGTCATATGAAAAAAAGTGTTAGATGAATTTGTTTTCCATAGGATGTGGAAATACTTTTGGCATTTTATATTAGAAAAATTGTTTACACAGATTCCAATGGCTGATTTCTGTTCTTCTATTTCCATTTTAGAAATCAGCTACATGCTGTGGAGATGACATAAAGTTAAGAAAACAGAAAGACCAATATAGTGCCAATTTCTTGGAGCCTGCTAGTAATTGCACAACAGAGCAAGACAAAATGGAAATTGAAGCCCTTGTTTCAGAACATAAAAACAGCACAGTGGGGACCTCAACATGTGCAACAGACAATCAAAGTCACTTACTTTCATCTACTGCCAGTCACAATGGGCTGAAAGACCGACATGAATCTTTGGACAGTGAAGTTGCTAAAGAGATCAGATATCTTGATGAGGTGCTAGAAGCAAATTGTTGTGATTCTACCCCTGATAACCCCTTTAATGGGATGACTTCCTCTTCTCCTGAGACAGGTGGACCCATTAGTCTGGATGGCTCTAGTCCATCTGTCCATATTACTAATGATTTCCCAGTACTCAATGAGCATAATGGTATTAGAGGTGGAGGACAAACACCTCCAGCCTTGGAACCCAGTGGAATTAATACAGCATCTGGGAAGCTAAAACCAAATGGCCATTTTGTGGAGATATTGCAAGAGGAGCACTGTGACAGTCTAAAAGTGCCAGTGAGTCCATGCTCTTCCACAAGCTCAAGGTCTTCCAAGGATGGAGAGTTAACATTAGCTACCATTAAGAAAGAAGCCAAGTTTGAGCTTAGAGCATTTCAGGAAGACAAAAAACCATCTAAACTTTTTGAGGAAGAGGATCCAGGAGAGAATTACAGAGTGCGTAAAGTGAGGCCTTCTGATGAAATGATAGAATTGGAAAAGGAGAGGCGGGAGCTCATCCGAAGCCAGGCTGTCAAGAAAAATCCAGACATAGCTACAAAGTGGTGGAATCCACCCCAAGAAAAAACATTAGAGGAGCAGCTGGATGAAGAACACTTGGAGTCTCACAAGAAGTACAAAGAACGCAAAGAGAAACAACAGCATCAGCAACAACCACCACCACCATCAATGCCTGTAAAGCATGGCTCATACTCTTCTCCATCATCAGATTCAGCCAATAAATGTCAAAAAGTTGATATTGTCACAGAACAAATAGATTTTTTAGCTGCTAGGAAACAGTTTCAGTTAATGGAAAATTCAGATCAGCAGAGTAGCCCAGCTGCACCGAAGCGATCAGGGACCCCTAAAATGTTCACTATCCAACCATTCTACAAACCAATAGGTCCATCCCAAATGGACCGGCGAACAGCCTCTATTACAAAATCTATGACTGCATGTGGACAAGTTGTGCAGGCTGGCAATAATGATGTAGCTGCTGCAAATACTGAGAAGGTGTCCTGCATCTCAGATGACAGCATTATTCAGAACACCTCTGGTGATCCTATAGGACTGTTGTCTTATGGTGATTCTACAAAGTGTGTTCAGGCCATCAAGATATGGTCAGATGATGATGAATTCATGAGTGCAAAAGCAGTCCTTACAGTGGTGAAGGATGATGAACAGAGTGTATTAGATCAGTTCTCAAGATCAATCAGTGTTTCTTCTCCTCCAGAAGAACTAGACTCTGGTTTAGATGAATTGTCTGTCAGATCACAGGATACAACTGTTTTGGAAACTCTTTCCAATGACTTTAGCATGGACAATATCAGTGACAGTGGTGCCTCCAATGAAACAATGAATCCCCTTCAAGAAAATTCCCTTACTGATTTCTCCTTGCCCCAGACTCCACAAGCTAACACACCTTCTGAGTGTCAAGGAGATGTTTCAAAGTCACTTAGTGACCATGGTTTTTATTCCCCTTCTTCGCCATTAGTCAACTCTATGCTCACTGATGAGCAGTTGGAATATCAGGCTGATCTCCTGGTTCAAAATGCCATTCAACAAGCCATAGCTGAGCAGGCTAATAAAATGAGTTATCAGCAAGCAAAAGGTATCATGGAGCAAAAGAACGGGCAGGTCAAGGAACAAGAGGAATTGGACAAGGCGCCATATTCTGAGAACCAGCATGGTTCAACATTTCAGCCACCTCAAGTGTCATCTCCTATGCAAGAGAAACGTGATACAGCACCAAAGACATCTGCAGCTCAAGATCCTGCACTCAGGGAAAAGCAACCATCTCCTGTTGCTCATGCCACCCAAGTAGTCAGTGTGGAAGAAATCAAGCCAGAAGTCAGCTACTTTAGCAAATATTCAGAAGCAGCTGAGCTTCGAAGCACAGCTTCCATTCTGGCTATGCAAGAAACAGAGGTGACAGTAGGGCCTTTTAAACTAAGATCAAAAAAGCAGAGGACTTTGTCCATGATAGAAGAAGAAATACGTGCAGCCCAGGAGAGAGAGGAGGAACTAAAGAGACAAAGACAGGATATGCAGCTAACACAGAGCCCTGTCGCGAAGAGTGCACCTTCACTATCCACCCGAACTGCATCTTACAAAACTGCACCAGGTAAGAGCTTGGCATTGAATGTTTTCTTAGCCAATGTTTTCAGACTATTTGGGTACAAATCCTCAGTGATCCAGAACTTCTTTAACAAGTATTAATAAATGGCTTATTGGATCAGATTGATGGTAGCATCGTCTTTCCATAATGTTCGTCAACTCGGCATGACGACAACAGACCTGACCTATTGCTAATCTCCAGAGTCTGGTATTCAAAGGTATTCTGCATCTGACCTTGTAGATGCCATTTAATTATTATGACTAATAATATTTCTTTTATCAGACCATTTTTGTGCTTCTTGTGGCAAAGATATCCATGTTAATTATGCATTACTTAGAGAAATTGTTGGGGGGGGAGGATGCTTGCCCTAGAACTATTAAGAGGTTTAATTTAATGACTCTGAATCTGTATGAGGTTTTTACAAAAATGGTTTGAAAGTTCAAATATATAATGTCACACATTATTCAAACTTCAGCTGAATAGAGCCAACCCAAGATCCCCTATTTTAAAAAATTTTTAAAAATGAGAATTTTCATTAGAATTGAGGCAATATTTATCCCTAGATCAAATTTTATAGCAAACAAACAAAATTATGAGCACATGTTATGTCTTGAGATTTGCTTTTGCCGTTACAAACCATCTTCAGTCTCATCAAAGTCTGAATTTAGGTTTGTTCAGTAGTATATATTGAATAGTGTGTGTGTGTGTGCGCACGCATGTATGTCAATTTGACTGTTATGTGTGTCATAAAATATTATACTTCGTATATGAATGACATGCATTTATGGTAAAAATAGAGCAGCTAGGCATTATTTAGACTGACAGATTTGTGAGAATAGGAGACAATGGAAATTGGTTTCCGCAAAATGCTGCATGTCAAAAAAATGTAAAATATAGGTTTTAATGGGTAACTTGACAAGTGTCAAATGCCAAGCCTATTGATATTAATGTTTAATACCCTTGAAGCCTGCAGTCAACTAGGCTAGAGACAGTCAGCAGTCAAGGGGAGAAGGGCACAGCTATCTGTTGCAACCAAGATTGGACAACATGTTTGGCATGTGAACTGAACATACAAATGTGAGGAGGAGGAGAAGTTCATAAAAGCTGACTTTGTCATTGCTTTTACTGACAAGTTAGAAGTCATGCCTCAGCATTTTAGATTTTTGGCTTCCTTTGTATTGGTTTTTATAAAACACCGTCTTGAGTGGTATTTAAAACATGCCTAAAATGAACTAGGTTTTAAAATTCCTTAAAGCTGGCATTTGCACATTAAAGATTATACTTTTCATAAGCCTTCAACTCTGAGTCCAAAAACTAGCAGTGTCACAAGTGATCTTCAGTTGACCATACAAGGGGGCCTCTCTGAGTTCCCTAAGAAAGGAATTTTACAGAGTCAGCCTTCTATTGCGTGCGGCTAGACAGCGTGCCGATAGGAATGACAGAACTGCAAACAGAGCCTCGTCTGATAGTCTTATGGTGCAAGTAAGTACATACAGTATGGGAGAACATAAAAACGCACATTGTTCATGGAACATAAATAATTGTCTGACTTTGCATATGTTTTTACTTTTTATTCCAAGGTATTTGACTAGTGGGATTTGAATGTATTTAATCTTAATTTTGTTTCTTTCCCATGAAACACATAGTAAATGAAATAGAAAAATAGTGCTTTGATACAGTTCAAATGGCCATCAGCTATGAAGCGGTGGGAAGTTCCCTTAATTACATGATTTTGAACTTAATAGCATCTGCTAGAAGATTTCTTCAGAAACAGGAACTGCAAGTATTTGCTTTGCAAACAAACTCAGTTCCGGTTCCAAATAAATTGGCTGCATTTTAATCACAGAGGTTCTGGGAAAGCAGCTGGATGCATCCTCACTAACCATGTGCTACTATTGTTCCTTAGAACAAATAAATATTCTCAATGTACTTCACAATATCTGGGGGGGGGGGACACAACCACAGGTGAATAAATTATCATACTTTTATTTAGCAGTAGATTAACAGGAAGACATTTTTATATCACTTTGCTAGGATTTGAATGTGTACCTGAGGCAGTATTTCCCAATTTAGAAGAGGATTCAGCTGCATAGATGCTTTTTGGGTATTCTGAAAAAGTTTGTGCATTTTAAAGATGGATGCTGATGGACATCAAACGTATAATCAGAAAGGGAGCTGGGATTGTTTATAGACCCAGATTCATGGAGATCACAGAAGTCTACTTAAAGTATGACATTAAAGAGGCAAACCAAAAATTAAGAGATACGATGAGGCGTGCATGTGTTATAGCCACAGAGCTCTCTGTCATGAGAGCATATAGGAAAAAAGGAAAGGATACCTGCAGCGCTTCCAGTGGATGCATGTATAGGTTGGTGGCTTTAATAATGCTTTCTTATCATGCTCTCCGTTCTCCCTGTGTGTAGTCTGTGTTCAAATTCCTTTGACATACTTGTTCAGAGACCTGATGCTGGAAATATTACTTTTTAATAATAGCTGATTGTACTTCTCATTGAAACACGCCCCCCCAGTGATATTTGGGCAGTATTAGCCTACCAAACAGACAATATATTTGAAAATCAGCACTTCTGATTTGATTGATTTCAT